TAAACACGCAAAAAAAGAACTTGGCCAATATCCAGCCATCTTGATCTCACACTTGGTCAATAACCCATATGTATTAATCGCAGGGGTTTGAAAAAGCCCAAACACTTGGGCCAGGATGGCCTGGGGAAAGACAAAAATAGAGAGTCATGTGGACTTCTTTGGTCCTTGAAAAGAATAACAATGCCAGTGTAATTGACAAAAGAAAATTCCAAGTTCGAAAAACTTCGGAATCGTTACACACTGAAAAATACTAACGAAGCAGACAATAACTCCAAACCGTTGCCAAAACAAAACTCTATTCATTTGAATTAGTACATTTGTTCCTTATTTTACTTTTTTATATTTTTTCACACTTTCGTTTATATCGCATATATTACTCCTTTCGCGCTTTGACATTGTACGCATGAGCTTGGAAGCCGTAAACTTTTAAAATTCTTAACCAGGGAAAATTTAGCGCGCAATATTGTTGCTTCATGTTGGATTGAAACATTGTGTGCGTTTGGTCAGGCCTTTATAGTCGAAAAAAATCATCAGCTAGATCCTAGATCCCTGGTTCAAGTCCGCTCCCTTGACAAACAGTGTTCTTTTAAGTTTGTTTTTTGACAAGGAACCTTCAATTTTGAAATTTCATTTTTTTAAATGGATAAAAAAATCTTGTGCTATTACGGTCCAAAATCGATGCAGTCAGTTTATAAAAAGGTTCGATTTCGTGGCTTTAAGACAAAGGCCTAAATTGTTAGGAAACAATAGGTGAGGAATAAAAATGAGAAAGACTTCCTGGCCACTTCTCGCAAAAATCACCATCCACACCACTTGAAATACCGTGAACATGATGTTGCCTCAGTGCCGAGGTATTGCATTTTGAACAATTTAAGGTCATTTAAGTTAGTTGATATTACGGAATAAAACAGTTGAAACTACTGCTAGAATTGTAAGTGTGAGAGAGAAACATCAGATTCTCAAACATACATTATTTAACCATTACTCAACAAATTTAGGAATATTTCTACTGACTTGCGATGTGTGTTAGCTTGTGTCGCTTTCTGATTAAGTAGCTACACAGGACACTTTGAAACATATTTTGCTAAGAGCTCAAATTTGCTTTGGTTTTGCGAGGAAAGTAATTGACAGTTAACTTGCGCGCACGAAATGGTGTAGACTTAATTAACGACAATTTTTATGTTCAGTATCATGCCAGGGAACTGACACAGTAACGCTCTAAGTCGAATTTTGACATAGCATTTGTTGCAACTTTTTGGACAATTCAAATGCAGCACTTACCGCAACTACGTTTTTCTAATCCGTTAAAACTGCAATGCACGACTCGGTATGTATAAATTGAACAAAGGAGACTACGGCTCGGGAAGGCTCTCTTAGTTGTTTCACGCTGCCGTCAAAACAGAAGTTGCTTTACGTCAGAATACACATTCGGTGTTATTTTGCGAAAAAAAGAACAATTTATGTTTAGCACACCATAGCTCTTGCGCGCAAAATCGAAACATCTTCAGTGAGTTATGCCTTGACAAACACAACTTCAATGCGAGACTACA